CATCTACCTTGACCTGTGTGTCTGTTTCTAAAGCACCTCAGTGCTGTGACCACAGCTCCAGAGGAGTCTCCTGCAACCTTTCCCCTGTCTTGGCTCATAGAGACCTTAATACTATCTCAGCAAAGCCAAAATCGTTTTGACCCCTCTTGGCTATGTGGCCGTACAGAGCGGGTGGCTTCACAGTACTTCTGTTTCAGCTCTTTCTGTATCTGAGGATCAAGAGTTTTTGGAGATTTTATGCAGAGGAGTCTCCTTCTGGTATTATGAATTCTGAAAATGTAGAAGTCATGACTCAAATCTAGGAAATGAAAAATTAAGTAAAATAATACAATTTGTTTTGTTCCTTTCCTAGTTCTTGGGCTGCAAAGGCAGTTTAAAATAAAATTATACGTGTGCACGCAAATGCACTTTTTAATATAAACTGTTATTATCATCGGGGCTAGAAACTTTTCCTGAAAAATAAACACTGCACTTTTCACATAATTGCTCATCTTCAGGAGTGGTGAATATCAGAAAAAGGATGATAAGCCCTCTACAAAGAGTGAGAGTTGGCAGCATCGATCACTTTGGATGCTCATATACTGCCAGGCCATAAAAAAGCCTCAGAAGTGGAAACATTCCTGCATGTTTGTTCAAATCTGGATTTCTGCATGTGTTGTCATAACCAAGTAAACTGACATCAAAATTACAATAAGGGCAAGACACCACAAAGGTGTCGCGGTGCTTAATGGTCTATTCAGTTATCATATGTGGGCTGCTTATAGAAATGGAAGTGTTCTTCACTTTACATGCAAGCCTTTGTAAAGGAAAGAGCAAATGCCAAAAACTATTGGTTTATTCCCCGTTTAAGAAAAAATATAAATTTTTATATATGTATATGAACTGTTATATTAACATTTTTAACAAAGTATTTTAAAGCTAGGGGTTGTACCTGTTTTGCATTGTCATTGGTATGACTCATACTCCGTATCAAAACCTGTGTTACACTATTTTGCTACATGTTTAGTTCTCCAAATGCCTTGTTCAGTGCAAAGTGTGATAAGATTATAAAAAATTCACCACTGAAGTGATTTTTTAATTTTTAATAGTTGTTTTTGTTTTTTCCTAATTTTCATGCTTTGATGATTAAGTCAGGTTGTGTGTATGCTAGATTCAAGTTGCTGTTTTATTTGATTATGAGTGGCAGTAATTTGATATGAATAGCTTGCAGGAGCACTTCTTGATGGAGTGGCACAAATCTGCTTATTAGTGGGCCTTTCTGTGATATGAATTTTCAGCATTAGCCTAATCATTTCAGGATTTTTCATTGCCATTCTGTGTCCCCAGTTACTTTAAACTCATCTGAATGAAAACAAAATATGACCAAGTCTTGACCGACACTTCAGACTTTTTTCTCTCAAATGAAACTAAGATGGTCAGAATATTAATGAGAAGAATGCAACAAGAGATCAGTGCAAGAAATAGTCATCTAAGTCTTAGAGGTTTTTCGTGTAATGGTTACTATTAAAGAATAAGAGTTGCACTAAAATTAACCTGGTATTTGTGGGCGAGGAGGGAAAGGGGCTGACAGAATTGTAAATACGAAATGTTTTATCAGAACATACTTAGATTGCCTCTCCTGTACCAACTTTGGTCTGCTGTTGGCCCCCCTGAGGGGAGAAGGAAAATCCTATGAAATATGAAATGCTGTATTGCAAGAGTTAGTGTCAGACAGCAAACCTAGGTTAAGAGTAGTACAATTTAGTGTTTGCATCTGCCTGTTACAGCCTGTGCAGTTTACAGCATTCTGTCTAGGTTACTAGCCTGCTAGCACCTAGGAAACCTGATGAAAGTAATTAGAAAACTGTGCTAACTGAAGCTCTATATTTTTACTTTGTGTCTTTTTTTCTTTTCTTTTTTTTTTTAAGCGATCTGTTTGGGCCAGTACGTTCTAACTTGTCTAACTCTTGGCCGCCTGGGGGTCCTGAAAGACTCTTTTGCGTCTGGGCAGATGCCCTGGGAATGTCACTGCCCTCGAGGAGCTCTAGTGTGCACTCATTCTCAGCAGCCTGCAACTTGCTTTGAATTCTGAGCCCTGACTTCACAAGTGTGGGGCTTGGGTGGTTCATACTCCTCCATACTTTGTATCAGCAGCTGCTGTTAGTTTTGGTCATGAGTTTTCATTATTAATAGTAGGGATAAAACTGGAGGTATTTTCCTAACAAATTGTCATTAGTGTGACTGAGATTTGCACATCTACCCTTTTTTAGTCATACTAGTCTGTAGTGGGAAGTATGTAACTTATGTTAACTTAATGTTCTTGTTGCCTTAAATTCAGGTGGAAGAAGGAAGTAAAAACGTGCGGTTGGGCTCGCTGATCGGCCTGCTGGTAGAAGGAGGACAGGACTGGAAGGCGGTTGAAATACCGGCTGATGCTGGTGACCCATCTTCTCAGGCTCCACCAGCAGCTGCCCCTACCTCAGCTCCTGCAGGTCCTTCAGTTTCAGCACCTCCTAAGCTGGAACATCACACTGGAAAACTGCAGTGAGTTTCTATGTTCACCGTGAAAAGGAACCCTAGTTTAGTAAGATCAGTAGAGCTGCACTAGAAAAAAAAATCTTTGAAGTCAAATGATCTTTCTCCTATTTCATTTAGTGTTAAATTATTATTTAAGAGGCTATTTAAGTGCATATGGGGTATTAAACTTTGCACAGAAACAATCTTTTTTTTAAGCCCAATAAATCAGTTCAAACAGAGTCTTCTTAGAATGACTTCTGTGGGTATGCTTTTATTTTGATGTGTGATGGCATTATGAAGGATTCTAAGCTTGAGATGAGGTAAAAGGTTATTGTCTTGTATGATGGACACAGCTGCTTATGCACCAGAAGGCCAATTTACCTATCATTACCTATAACTATAAAAAAGAACAAACAGCAAATGGCCCATCCAAAACTCTTCCAAGAACTTAATGCTTTCTGATATTTAAAACATGTTTATCTCTTTCTCCCACCCCTAGTAGAGTAATGTGGAAAATGTCAGGCTCAGATGAAAGGACCAAGAGTGAACGTTTTAAAAATTAAATAAATTAAGCCCAACATCCTAGCCATGTATGAGGAATGTATAAATTGCTAGTCTCTGCTGCAGATTTTTCCTTAAACGTTTCTGTAGCTAATACTGACTGAGGAATTTTGTTCATAATCACAGTATGACTTATGGTTGATAGCCAGAATCTTCATCGTAGATTTTTATGTAATTGTGGTTGTTTTGTTATTGAATCAATACCAAGTCAAACTACTATGCAATTCCTCTCTGGAGTTGATTGCACTTGCATCTAAAAGCTGTGATATCACAGCATGCTAAGGGGAAGAATAGGAAGAACTGTGATTTTTGGTAACATGCTACTTTGTAAAATGTTCTGTTTGGTGCGTGGGGGTTGTTTTGTGTGTGTGTGTGTTAACCTCCTTGTCTTTATATGTCTGAATTGCAATGTTTACCTCTGCTATCAGCATTTATACCCTTTTAAGGTGTAAAGACTTACACCTTAGGTGAAAGACATGAAAACAGCTAACTGAGGTCATTGCCTAAATGTTACCTGTCGTAGGAGGAAGATAAAAGTACTTGAAAGGATTAAGTCTTTCAGGACTAAAGAATGGAATCATATGAACACTAATGATTCTTTATTTTTTATTTATTTATTTTTGGACAAGAGTTTATGGACAGTTTTTAGAATTAATTGTGGTGCAAATATGGCACTTTAGGAAGTAGTGAGTTGAAGCAACCAGAGTGAATCCAGCGAAGTACCAGTAAGATGATTAAGGGGCTGGAGCATCTCTCATATGGGAGAGCTGGGACCCCTTATGTAGAAGGGAAGACTGAAGGGGAATCTTATCAGTGTAAATATCTCAGGGGAGAATGTAAAGATTATGGGGCCAGACACTTTTCAGGGGTGCCCACTGATGGGACGAGAGGCAGGAGACACAAACTGAAACACAGGAAGTTCCGTCTAAATCTAAGGAAAACTTTTTTACTATGAGGATGACTAACAGCTGGAACTGGTTACCCCGAGAGGTTGTGGAGTCTCCATCCTTGGAGATATTCAAAAACTGTCTGGACACCAGAGCAGGCTGCTGTAAGTGATCCTGCTTGAGCAGGTGGCTTGGGCTAAATGCTCGGTAAAAATCCCTTCCAACCACAACCATTCTGTGATTCTATTCTGTTCTGAAATTTGGGCAAAACACTTGAAATTAAGTACTAACTGTTTAAGGAAAATGTTACTGATTTTGTATCTAGGAGTTCTGAAATTTGTTAAATGTGTTGTTGTCTATTTTTTATTTTATATATATATATATTTAGCTGAGGACTATTTCTGCCTGGAATGTTACTACTAGGTGTATCCTGCCCAGGACAAAATGATAGGCACCTATTTACTAGTATGTATGATGATTTAAATATTTGACTGTAGAAAAGTTTCATATTTAATCTTTTAAAGCAAGTGCATTGCATGCAAGCACTTGCATGCAACTATGGCTCTGTGACTTTTACTCTCCAGAAGATATCACGAGTTTTGATCCATTTTGATCATAATTGATTTTGATCCATAAAATAAATTCAGAACCTGAAATTGAAGCTAGAATAAAGATAACGGCATAATTAAATCTAGTCTGCATTAATCATGCAACTGCGACTACCCAAGCAAATAAGAGATGAGCAACTTCGAGATCTTGAAACTCATTTTTATGTTACCTGACAAGTTGATTTTCAAGGTTGCACTTGTCTCTGCACTGTGATCCTTTTGCAGAAGAATCTACTGGTATGTTGCATTGCTGCTGTAAGGAGGGGTATTTTTTGTCTTTATTTTGACCTCTTGTGGGTGTTATTCCATGTTTTGATTTCAATCTTGAATCACAACTTGATGAAGGAGCTCAGTGTGACTTCAGTGTTAGAATCACAGCCTTTTTACAGATTGCTTCCCCAGGAGTTTTTTTTTTTTTTCCTCTGGTTCTGAAATACAACATATAGTTTATCATTTCTGTCTATACACAGTAGATGAAAGAAGTTAACATTATTGTTTATATAGCTTATTTTCCTCTTCATTTCTTTAGGATTCGCTTAAGTCCTGCAGCTCGCAACATTCTGGAGACGCATGGACTAGATCCAAGCAATATTACACCTACTGGGCCCCGAGGAATCTTCACTAAAGAGTAAGTAGATATTGCAACAAATCAATACTCTTTTATTCCTTTACTTCTTTCTTTGAATCTAGAAGATTTTCATGAACTCGAAAGGCCTATAACTTTAAATTCACCCTTTTCCTGTGAAGTGATTGCTTAGTAAAAGTTGACTTAGGAAGATAAGGAGAATAGGCAGAAGGATACTGTGCGGTATTTTTTTAAAATCTTTTGAGCAATCAGAATTTCACCTACCCAGACCTTGTTAGCTGCTGTAGCTTTGCAGAAAGAGACAGAGTAGTCTAACTTGCAGTTGAACAGAGAAGTAAACAGTGGAAGTCTGTTGCTTTTTCCCTTTTTTTTTTTTTCCTATAGTCTTTGACCAAATTTGGGTAAAATAGGGAGTTGGATGAATAAAATATCATATGATAACAGCAGCACGTTATCAGAAAGGTTTCTTAATTATATAAGTGTAATGGTAATTTATAGTGTGTGACTAGTCTGTGGCAGGTGGAAGCCCTCTAGGATTTTGAGCCATCTAATTAACATTCCCTCATTCCCTACTTGTCATGGATATGCAGTAACGATTTTTCTGTGGCTGTAATAATTATCTAACTAGCAAAAAGATTTTGACTTTGAAATGTTATTTTTAAGATACAGGCTGCAATTTAAACCATTCATTTGAAATAATGTTAGAACCTGCAGACTATGCTGTTATGTACAGTTTGAAATTAAACATTGCTGGGGTGTTTTTTTGTTTGTTTGTTGAGAGGTACTACAGATATTTAGTGGAATACTTTTTTTTAACATGAGTCTCAAGTTAGCAAAGTATGTGCCATGTTATACAGCTGAGTGTCTCACTGTTTCATTTCTAAGTATCCTGCCAATTGAGCCTTTGGGGCAGCGTTGCCAGTTGTCAGTTTAAATAATGAGTATTGAGCTGGGGGTCACTGGACTACAAGAATCAAAGGAAGATAATATAAGCTATACAAGCACGTAGGGTTCTTCCCTCCTTCTCAGTTTTCTGTCTTTAAATTCACAAGTTCACATAAAAGTTGCTGTAACAGCAATAGCAGTCTTCACTTGAGAGCTTTCTCCATCCTAACAAACCCTTAACAAACCTTTAACAAACTGGTATTTCATCTTCTCTACATCCGTATTTCTGTGCAAGACTGCATTACCACCTTCATCCTCTTGCTTGTTTTTGTTGTTTGTAGTGGCAAGGCAGTATTTCTCCCCTCTTCCCTTTAGTGCCTTTGTGGCACAATGAATGAGTGCGTCGTATTTTATCAGTCACAATTAGATTCATTTGACTTACTAATTTTTTTTTTGAATCTGTGACTTCTCTCGTCATTCAGAACTATCACGAATATGCTTGCAGTGGGTAATGAGCCTTCTCCTCTCCCATCTCTCTGAAGGTTGTCATTTCTCATCTTTTCCAAAGTGCAGTATAGATAGTTGTTCACTGTCTTCTCAGTACAGATCCCCATTACTGACCTCCAGCCCAGCCTGCTATCCCTCTAGATGTTACCAAGAAAGCTTTTCTTGGCACTTTGCTTGAAACTGGATTTGTTGAGTACTGCTCTTGTTTCTGTTACCGAGTTCCGTGTTCGCACAAGTTTGTTTGTGAATGGAATTCCATACCTACTGAATGGATTAATTACTGTTTGTAGTTTTGCACTGTAAAAAGGTGCTATTTTTAAACAGTAGAATAATATTTAAACTTGCATGGTGCTCAGAATGAGTAATAATCTGTTTCTCGTCCAAATTAGAAATTAAAATTCCTAATAAGATTGGGAATAGCATTTTTTTTTTTTTCATTCAGCATCAGTGACCCTTGGCTTGACCTTGTACCCCTATTATTTTTTGTTTATGCCTTTAAAGTATTGCATAGGGCTATAAATGTGGCTAAGTTTCCTGATAGGAACTCTCAGTGGTTTAAGTCCTGCTTATGATTGATAACAGATTTTCAATTACGTATTACACTTGTAATATTTTTTTTCATTCAGTTTGAGCTGTATTAACTTTGTAACTGATAACAGGCACAATCAGTTGTCTTTCCTAATGGCAGTGAAGATTCATAACAAGCTCTTGTCTGTCCCTGATGGTTTGGTCCTTATCTGCCTTTAAGCCTGGTTCCTTTTAGTGGTCCTAATTCTCAGGGAATTCCTGGAAATCTTTAAAATGGAAGTGCCTTGAATTCCTTTGGTAATTTCTTTGTTTACAAGAGTGACATTCAACTTATTTATTAAGAAGGGCTGCTGCTGTGAGATATCTTATAAAACTACTCCAAAAAGTGATTTCAGCACTTTATTACAACTTACCATCTTCCTTTCTATGTGCCTTTTGTCATTGGAAAGGAGAGCTTGTACACAGTGCATTACTTTATAGTATTGACTGAACATAGTCTTTGGGTTGTATGTAGGTTCCCAAATGTCCCTCCTGGTAGTTTATATTCAAAATACAGCCTCAAAAATGTGGCTTCAAAATGTACGATGAACTCTGTTTTCCTGCATCGCAGCCTAGCAAGGCTCGTGCATTCATGTGTTCGTGCATCGTGGCTTGGCAAGGCTCCTCAGCGCCACCAAAGGCGTCACTCATTCACCAAGGTACAAGTACTGTTCTCTGCTTTCTTCACTGATAGTAGAAAGTCAGTAAGTGGCAGCTGAGTTTCTGTTGCCTGACACTGTCTGCTCACCATCTCCCTCTTCCAGGGAGCCTCTCCTGGACTGAGCAAGGGGGTAGTCAGGGAAGATGTCTGAGACAATTTCATAAAAGTAGCTGCCACCAGGGGATGCTCTCTGCTCTTTTCTGTTTGCCATCTTTCTCCATTCCTATGCTGTGTCCACAGGGTTTTTCTACAGCAGTTACAAAGGAACTATGCAGCCAACCCTTCTGAATTCTAATGCAATATCTACCTGCTTGACTTGCACAGAAATCTGTTTAATTTGATATACTTTGATGTATCCTCCAGCTTCTCTTAGTTGCAGGCTCCCAATCTGGCACCTGTGACTTATGGTTATGCATTTCTTAATCAGCTAAATCATGTGGAACCCACTGCAAGAAATTTAGTGTCTTGTACTCACTCATGAGTTTCAAAGACTGAGTGCGTCTTCTTATCTAGGAATAAGTTCTATGTTGCTGACAGGGATTTCAGTTTTCACTGTGAAAGCTTCCAAAATTATTAAAGCATCCTGGCTTGGCAGGAGTAGTTTGGAGCATCTGTTTGCTATGTCATTTGCATTATATGTGGAAGCCATTTAAAACCTTTCCTTTGTTTTGAAATATGTAAAAAGTTACAACTTTATTCTATGTATAAGTGATACAGCAAAGAGATAGTCCTACTACTATCAAGTTAAAATGCTTAACTAATCTTTGGTAGGTTCTAATATGTCAAATAGGGATGCTGCAATATGTCATGTAATTCCTTTTTTTTTTCCTGTAAATTTTAATGCTATAGGATGATTTTCATTTAGTGAAAATTAGAATTTTCCCCCCATTATAGTAATTATATTAAATACTTATTTTATCATAAACACTTTTTTTTTGTTTATTATAAGCACTTAAGCACTTATTTTACATGTATATTGAAACAAATTTTGGCTGGTATTTAATTTTGGCAAGGCAAGTAATAACTTTATTAGCAGCAACTCTGTCTCCTGAGGTCATTCTGTTTTTAATATCATTTGCTGAAATATGTATTTGAGGATAAAAGAATAAATAGGAGCAAGTCAACTACCTATGAGTAAAGGTATTGCATAGAAGAAGAAGTGCTCTTTGGTTTTATCAGACTGTGCCCACAAGAGGATAGTTTTTGTGGTGTTGTCTTTCACCTCAGGGTAAAGACCCTTGGAGAATGCCTACAGAGCAGACAAGGTTCGGGAGTATGTTGAACAGAATCAGGTGCTATTCACTTTTTGTGTTTGATTCCTTAGTGAGTTGCTGATACCTTTTAAATAGAATATGATGTATTTGAGCGTATTTATTTCAGAAATGTGCAAAGAGATGTGAATGACAAATGTTTGACAATTTTCTTTTGAGCATTATTTATAAAATAGCATTGGAAACCTGTCACAATTAAATAATTGCATGAATGCAAGTGATCACAAATAATAAATGAAACAGCTTTTATTTGAGCCTCAGAGGTAGACTGAATAAGTTCACCATGATATTAATGAGAATTGTTAACATAATGCACAAGTTACTGTGGGCTCTGATAATTGATGATGATGAATATTATGCATCTGTAACACAAATGCTTTTTGTTAGCACGTATTCTAGCTCTTTTATTCACAGAAATTGAGATTTTTTTTGATGTCTCGCCTTTACATCTTGATTTTTTTCATAAAATATTATCAATTAAAAACAATTACCTTTTTTAATGTTTGGTTTGACAGTAGATGTTCAAATATAACAAAGCTGCTAATTAGTTAGTGATGAAATAATAATACTTCGGGCATTTTTGAAATAGCTTCATTTTTGGTCAGTATTTCACTCTATGTTTAATTACTAGGGATGCTCTCAAACTTCTGCAAGAGAAGCACAAGGGCAAACCCAGTGAAGTGAAACCCATGGTTTCGCCAGCTCCGCCCCAGCCTACTACAGTGCCTTCTGCTCCACCGGCAACAGCTGGGACTTCTGCTTATCCAAGGCCAGCAATTCCACCAGTTTCCACACCAGGAAAACCTCCTCCACCGGTAACATTCCTGTTAAGTCCTCAACTTTTTTACAGCTAAATATTGCCACTGCTGCCTACGTATCTATATGAGATGTCTGGAACTGGAGAAAGGAAGGGAACTTAGGCTACACAAATGTCAAGACCAATGCTTGCAATTTTTAGCATGTTTAAAAGATTATACAGTAGTGTAATTCAAGCTGCAGAACTCTCAGAATTACAGTCTACTCAATACTTGGTGTCATTTGCAAATTAAAGCTGTAAAAAAGTTTACCTTACTTTTCTGCCTAGAAAGGGGCAAATCAACAATTTATTTTAATCCCCAAAGAGGAAGATTCAGCTGGTTTGGAATTCAATAGTACAACTCTTCCCCCTACTTCCTGGAGGATCAGGATGTCTCTCCAGACTCTGGAAAGACATGAATCCTGCTTTGTTTTTGTTTTCATTTCATTCATTCATTTTCATTCGATACAGGTAATGCCTGTGGATGAATGGACAAGAAGCGAGGCTGGGAAGGACTTAGTGGTGCAAAGAGTATTTTACACACTCTAGCATGTAAATACAGCTTGTTTGTTTCTCTGAAGTATTAAATCTAGACTGGATTAATTTTAGACTGTAAAACAAACTTACTGCATTGATCCGAATACAGTATAGTGGAATTGCACATTCACTGATATAAATCGTATTAGTTTCAATAGTTGAAATACATTGCATTTTGATATCTAGGGTTTATTCTAAATCAGCAGGAGTCACTGCTAACGCATCCAGAAGTGTGTTTTCTTTCTTGCTGTCTAATACAGTGTATGACTTTTTTTTTAAGGGTGCTTTCACAGAAATCCCAGCTAGCAACATCCGAAGAGTTATTGCTAAGAGATTAACAGAGTCCAAAACTACTATACCTCATGCATATGCTGCTGCTGACTGTGACATTGATGCTATTTTGAAATTGAGGAAAGAATTGGCTAAAGGTTGGTGATTAAAGTGCTTTACCTTACTGTAATACATGGGACTAGTATGTACTTTATTTGGTTTACATCATCACGTCCGGGATATATTTTGTGGGGGCAGAACATGACACATTCGAATGATCTTTTTTTGATGTTCCGTATGTTAGAAGGTATAATTCCCTGAGACATCTTATTGAGGGATGGGAGGACAAAGGTGTTGCTTTGCCAGCTAATGCAGTGGTGTAGACCTCTGCAGTTTAACATAGGACTACTCATTATCCCTGAGCTTTTTATTTCATTCCACATGCAATTTTCAGATTGCACAGAATTTCTGTTTCACAGTATTCAGCCTTTCAGTAGTTGAAAGATCAATTTCTCCGTATTAAGGATAATTTTCAGTTATTGGAATAAAGATTGAAAGCTTTAAATGAAAATATGGTCATGCTCAGTCCTTTTCAGTACAATATTGAAATTGCTGCCCACCCTTTTCATTTAATGTAAAGCTGTCATAAACGGTGAAAGTACTGTATAATTCTAAATGCTAGATCTCTTCTAACTATTACTTATATCTCTTATACAGTCTCTGAGGAAACTAAAATGTTCAGTTAAAAGCTATGGCAATGAATGAATGAACAGAAAAACACAATTTATGTTTAATAAAGTGTGGTAACAACGTTGCAAAGTCAAGAAAGAGTAAGGAGAACCTGGGTAAGGAAGGCCTGACTTATTGGTGATAATATGGGTGCATTTAAGTGAAGCCTCTGAGAGGATGAAGAAGCAAATCCAAATTGACAAGGAAGAGAGCTTGAAAGAATGATTGGGGAGGAAACATGAATTGCAGCATATTTGATGTGTCTCAATGGTGCATTTCTTGAAAATGTTGAGAAGGAAGTTAGATTGAAAAAGAGGGAAAAGACTCAGAGATCTTCCCATAGCTCTAGGGAGAGTGAAGTTGGCAGGTCCTGAATCAGTACCAGGGGATGTACCAGAGGATAATCCCTTGAGGTATGTCTCTGTTGAGCTGCTGTAGCTAAATGATGGCTTAAAACTTCATTGATGACCTGGAAAAAATATTAAATATAATTAAAATTTCATTTCTTTAAGTTTATGTTTTTATACATAACACAGAGTTTTAATCAATCTGATTTGGGAAACTAGTGTGTGGTGGGTGTGTGTGTGGTTCCCTCTTCGCTCTTCCCTTTGAGGCTTTGTTAGTACTTGAATTAAATTGAATGTGACAGACATGAAAAAAATGTTATTTTTACAACAATGATGAATGCAAATAGTACTTCAGATGATCTTTAGGGGCACCTACAACTTGGTGCATTTGAGGATCCCAGAGTTAGAAGATTCAATTTGAACTGAAGTGAAATAAGGGAGTAAAGGAAGAAGGTGCTTTATTTATTTATTTATTTTAGTCTTTTTTTTTCTTTCTAGCAAGAAATCAGATAAGACAGTGCATAATTTTATGAATAGATGCCTTAAAGTCACACTATAGTTTCAGTTGTTGAAAGAAGTGACTGGTTGAAGTTGCATAGGAAGCTTTGAAATCTGTTGTCTTTGAACTTGAGTAGTTTTTTTGCAGCTATAATATTCTCTGAATATAGCTGTTCTATATAACATGTAGTAACTTGGCAGTGTTGTATATCTGTTTAAAACACTGTGTGAAATACTAGTAATAATAGAAAATGATGTTTACATAACCTATGTTTGTTTAAACAATAATGTATTAATGATCAAAAGTGCCTTCATGACTTTGAAATCTATATTTCATCGATTTAAAGTTGAGAGTTGACTCTTGAGTGATCAAGTACTATCATTTATTCTACCAAGTGCCACTTGGTAGAAGCAGATAGGTATTTTAGTGACACGGCCAGTTAAGCTATTTATCTATCTTTCTTTTCGGTGTTTTGTGTTTGTTTTTGTTTCTTTTAAACAGTTCAGAGGAGAATAGTATTGGAAGAAGAGTAGAAGGACAGCTTAGCTTTATCATGCGGATGTGTCTGAATAAGGATTTTTGAGGTTACCTTAAGCGAGACCTGATACGTTCTATAGGAAGAGACATCAGCTAGACTTCAGGCACCAATAAGTGTTCATCTAGTTATACGCTTGTCTTGCAGAGAATCTGATACTCATTCTCTCTCCCTGACCCATCTCTTTGCTGATACAATAAAAGATTTGCTTGCATCCAGAGTTTCCTAAAAACAATAATTTATGCTGTATTGTTTCTCCCGTAGGTAGCGGAATACAGAAGTGTTTTGCTGTGCCGTTATAGAGTAAGACGTAAGCCCTTCACGAGTGTGAAAGCACTTCATTGTGATTTGCTCTCAGACATGCTTTGTTCTCTGAGTGAGTGCATCCCTGTGTGTAAGAAGTCAGGCAGAGGGGGCAGGAGACCAGCGTGGATGAGCAAGGAGCTTGTGGCAATGCTCAAGCAGAAGGCAGCAGTATACAGAATGTGGAAAAAAGGACAGGGGCCATGGGAGAAATACAGGAACGTGGTCAGTGAATGCAGAGATGCCACAAGGAAAGCTAAGGCATATTTGGATCGCAATCTGGCAACGGATATTAAAAATAACAAGAAAAACTTCAAATATATTAACAGCAAAAGGAAGATCAGGGAAAACGTGGGTCCACTGGCGAATGGGATGGGCACCCTGGTTACAAATAACGCAGAAAAAGCAGAGTTGCTCAATGCCTTCTTTGCTTCGGTGTTTACCAAGGGCAGCCCTTTAGAGCCCCAGGCCCTAG